AGGCCAGACCCAAGTCAGGGTGTCGGCACGAGCCGGGCCCCCCGTCCTCGAAGGCCCAGGGAGGATGCTCCTGCCTTTCCAGCTCCTGGGGCCCCCGCTGTCCTTAGGGACACCTCCCTCCAGTGTCTGCCTCTTCTGTCACCTGGCTTCGCCTCTTCCTGTAAGGACCCCAGTCCTTGGACTTAGGGCCCACTCTCAATCCAGGATGAGCTCATCTCGGGAGCCTTAGCTAATTACATCAGTAAAGGCCCTGTTTCCAAATAAAGTTCTAGATGGACGTGAATCTGGGGGACACTGTTCAACCCCGCACGTGCTTTGTGGGTACTGGCCATTTAACCCTTGAAACGTTGCCTGAGGTCGGGGCTGTTCTTACCCCATGGGGGAGAAGGTGGAGGCCTAGGGTCCCGGCACAAGGGCTCCTGGCTGAGGTACCAACTCTGTCAAAAACAAAAAGCAAAAGAATCCAGACAAAAGCAGGCCCTTGTGAGGCCCATTTCCATTGTCACCTGGCAGTCGGCCACCCCTCCTGGCCCAGCCCTGTCAGCCCCCGGGGTCTGTTCAAGAGCCCCAGAGAGGCCTGGGGGCCCTGAGCAAAGATGCTGTGGAAATTTGCTTTAAAAGTGACAAAAGTAAGGGGAGGGAAATAGCTCAGTGGTAGAGCACATGCTTAACATGAGGCCCTGGGTTCAGTCCCCAGTGCCTCCTCTTAAAAAGAAAAAAGGACAGAAGAGTGATATATGTCCATCTTAGAAATTTGGGAGAAAAGGCATAAAGAGAGTCTTTATGGCCCTTGTTTGCCTCCAGTGTTGCTATTATACTTTGGTTTACTTCCTCTGGCCTTTCAAAGACAGGAGTTGGAATTATCCATCCCAAGGGTCAGCAGACCTTTCCTGTAAAGGGGCACATAGTAGGTATTTTCAGCTTCTGAGTCACACAGTGTGTGTAGCTTCTTGACTCTGCCCCTAGAGAGAAAGCGGCCGCTAGCACCATGGACGGGGTGAGTGTGGCTCGGGTCCAGCAAAACTTTATTTATGGACTCTCTGAATTTTGTATGATTCTCATGTGTCAGGGAGTACTCCCCTCCTTTCGACTTTTTCAACGTGTAAAAATGGCCAAGCCCACCCTTGCTGCCCAAAGCGGCACGAGGAGCTCGTGCAGCTTCCCTCGTAAATGCCAGGGTGTGGAAGACGCTGGGGTGTTCGTTCTTCAGGAGGTGAATGGAGGAATAAACTGGTGTATGTCGACAGGGGTCTGTTCGGTGCTAAGAAGAAATGAGCTGTCAAGACAGGAGAAGACATGGAGGAAGCGTAAATGCGTGTTGCTAAGTGAGAGAAGCCGGTCCGGAAAGGCTACAGACTGTCTGATTCCAACTATCTGACTTTCTGGGGCAGGCACAGCCGTAGAGGCAGCAGCAGCAGATCGTGGTTGCCAGGGAGTAGGGGAGGGGGGGTTCAGGACAGGGCACCCATCCTGGACGGCACTGGAACGTGTCACTGCACGTTTGTTAAAGCCGCAGAATGTTCCCCACCAGGAGCCCCAGTGTGAACCGTGGGCTTCAGCCGTTCACCATAATGCGTGGATATTGCTTCATCAGTCGTAGCAGGTGCCCCAGGCAAGATGTTAAAAACAGGGGAAATGCTGTCGGCGGGGCAGCCGCCACTCTAGGAACTCTCTGTACCTTCTGCTCAAATTTTATGTAAACCTAAAACTGCTCTAAAAGAAAATCTCTTAAAAAAATTCTTAGCTCATGGGTTGTGCAAAGACAGACAGCGGGTCATAATGTGCCTACTTCGGGTCTAAACCGGCACTGCCCAGTAGCAGTATAATGAGAGCCACACGTGTGAGTTAAAATTTTCTAGGAGTCTCGCTTTTGAAACCTTTATTTTGAAGTAACAATAGAGCCACAGGAAGTTGCAAAAAAATAAAAAAATATAGGGAGGCCCTATGCACCCAACCTCCCAGGATGGCTACATCCTGCCTAAAATGTACATGGTACACATCCCAAACCAGGAAATGAAGGTGGGCACAAGTGCTTTTGCATTTTGCCAAAAATCAGTAGGGGATATTTCCGTCGGCCTAACAGCTACATTTTAATAAGTAAAAAAAGAGACATGTAAAATCAATTTGAGTGATTACCCAGTGCACCCAAAATATTACCATTTCAACACGTGACCAGTGTTAAGAGTTGGTGAGTGACGCTTAACTAGTCTATCTTTGTACTAAGTCTTGGGACTCCTGTGCGTGCTTTACCCCAGAGCACAGCTCAGTTTTAATTCGCCACGTTTCCGAGTGCTTGATGCCCCGTGTGGCATGGGGCCGCTGCGCTGGCCAGCTCTGGTCTGTCCTGGTTGGTAGCCTCGTTTTGTTTTTTTTGAAATACTCTCTGGCCAGCCCTCTTCCTTTGTCTTTGATGGCTGGATGGCTTCTAGGAGGAATTCTGGAAAAGTGTTCTGTTACCCCAGCTTGGGGGGTGGAGGGTTCTGTAGCCCTGACTCCTCCCTGACTCGGAGCAGGGATTCTGGAAGTCACCAGCCAGGTGTGTCCCCCACGGAAGCAACATTCCAAAGAGATTCCTGGCAGAGCCCTCGCGCGCGCGGGCGGGTCTCCCTGGAAGCACGCTATTGTTGACTGCCCTCCCAAGGACTGTCAGCTCTTTGGAAAGCTGACCTCTTTCTATTAAAGCTGTCAGGACAGGGAGGAAATAAGTGCATCAACCCTCCTGAAGTGAAAAGAAGGAGTTCAGGCTCTGGGCAAGGCCACGCTCCCCAGGGACGTGGCGCTCCCACTGCAGGATGGCTGTCGAAGGACAAGGAAATGAAACCGTTGTCGCCTCTCCCCCTCAGCTCCTGAACCATGACAGCCCTCAGGGGGTCCTTGACGCAGCCCTCGATGATTTATTGCAGGGGGCTGTGGGGATGCCCTCTGGGGGCTGGGCTGCTCCGACTGCTCGGAGCCACACGCCCGGAGCCGCCATCGGGAGCAGGAAGCCAGAGGCCCCGGGGCCCGGCTCTTGCATCAGCAGCCCTGGCGGCCGCTCTGTGGGGCCCAGGGCCCATGTGAGCTCCAGGAGCTCTGAGCGTGAGGTCACAGAGCAGTGACGTGGCAGCGCCCCCCAGGCGGGCAGGGAGCCCGTGCTCTGCCTTTGGGGACCCACGCCTGGCTGTTGCAATGTAACCCGATACCTGACGAAATCCTCCCTGAGGGCGGCAGGGGCTGGCAAACGACCTTTGTCTATTGAGTGGAACCTCCCATATCTGCTGCCATTGCCTTAGCGTTCATTCCCAGCAGAGTAAACAAGGCATTTTTATTCGGGTTTTTCATTTAATTCAGCCAATGTTCCCTAAATGCCTGTGATGTACCAGGAGAAAGGGCTCCTGGTGGCCCCTTCACTGTACCCAGGATGTGCTTCCTTGCTTCGAGGGATCTGTTTTGGGAACCTGAGGGTGTGGTCTCCCTGACGATCTGACAGCTGAAGCCCAGCCACGCTGGTCACTCCAAACCGCCTGTGCTTTGAAAGCTGAGGGCCGGTGGAAGCCGGCTTGGACTCTGTTGCCAGCAGGTGGCCCCAGGCAAGCTCCAGACCTTCCTTAGCTGTAGGTGATGACGCAGACGGTCCCTCCGTGTGGCTGCCCTGCAGCCACGCCCCTCGTCACGTCCCAGCTCTGCCCAGCCACGTGCCCCGGCAAGTCTCCACCTTCGTTGCCCAGCTTCTCCCTGACACGGTGGGACGGTGACCGTCCATGCCCACAAGGCCATCACGAGGCACGGCTGGTCAGCACACTGGAGGTCTCCAGGGCGGGGCACAGAGACGAGCCTGAGGGCTCAGATGGCCACACACCTCTTCTGCACATTTTGTGTGATTGTTTCCCAGATGAGGTGCAGACCCGCTAGAGAAGGATGGGCCTTTCCAGAGGGGCTGTGGGGCCAGAAAGGGCTTGTAGGAGGGAGGTGCCTGCCAGGGTCAGGGTAACATGGGAGGAAGAAGTCGGGAGTGGAAGTGCTCTGGAAGAGGGGAGGGTGACTGTCTCATGGGTCATGGGAAGAGGAGCCCCGCCCACATCTGGGGGGAGGGGAAGGGGAGGAAACCTGGGACCCAGCAAAGGGGGCGGGGCTGGACGTGGCCTCTCCCAGGAGCCGCAGTGCTGGCGGGGAGGGCCGGACCCTGTGGATGGTAAAGGCATCAGGATCTGTCTTGCTTCTGTAAATATTTAAACACTGGGAGGATTATTTTTGGTAGCTACGGTCTCTCTCCGAGCCTGGCGGGCTGCCGGGCTGCCGGGGAGGGTGTCGAGTGACAGCGGGCTCCCTGCTGGCTCCCCCGGGCTCCGCGTGCTCACGGTCACAACGCCACGATTTAATTGGGGTCGTGGTTCCCCCCTTTTGGGAGAGTGAGGACAGGCATGGGCTCCTAAGCTTTCCCCTTCAGGGTAAGGTCGACGTGACAAACACGATGTCAGCTCAGAAGTTTCCCTGACGGTTGTTGAAAGTGACAGTGCCTTGAGCTTCCAAACCGCGAGCAGTGAAGTATAGGGCCAGCCGCCGGCCAGGCACCCCCAGGGAGGTGGCCACGCTCCGCCAGACCCACCTGGGGTGAAAGGACGCATTGTGTGCCCCGCAGAGCTGCGGGGCTGCAGACAGCCGTCTTTGTCGGGTCCACAGGGCAGACGTGCAGGGGAGCCTGCTCCCGGGCGGGCGTGGACGTGGGGCACTGAGGGCCACCTGGGCCCGGCCATCTGCCGAGTGGCGGCCCGTCTCCTCCAGCCTCAGAATTGAGTCTGGCCAGGCATCATGGCCCCGCCGCTTCCCCGTGAAGGAGGCTGGCAAACACCAAACCTTTGAAACTCCATTTTCCTGGAGGTGGCACTTTGGCTGAGAAGGGCTCTCCGCGTGCCCAGCAGATGGCAGGCTTCCCCCAGATCAGCCAGGGGTGTCCACTGCCCGCCCGCGGCCACCGCGCCTCCCGCCCCACCCCCGCCCGGGTCCCCAGAGAGGAAGTTCCATCTGCCCTTTGTTGCTCACCTGCCCCCCGTCTCTTCTCACTGCCTCCTCCCAAGGGGCTGCCTGGGGGTGTGCGTTGGGGAGGGAGCGCCAGTTCAGACCCAAGCCGGGGTCCCTCGACTGTGGGGCTGCTGGACGCTCTTTTCCTGTGTTCGGTCTCCATTTTCAGCTGGCTTCCGTCTCCTCACTGACTTTCTGCCTCCTCTCTGGGGGTCTGGTGGGTGGAGAGTTGCAGGCATGAGCATGACCCCCTCACCCCCAATCTTGTGCAGTCCACTGCCTCCCCAGAGATCAGACGGATCCTAGACAGGCTTGGCCTCTGGCCCCAGAGAGGAGTGCAGGGCTGATGTTAGACCCGGGATGGGAGGGAGCGGTCAGCCGCACACCCCAATACGGCCTGCTTTCTGTCCTTTCACTGCGCCTGTGGACGCGCTGACCCCTAGGACAGCCCAGCTGAGTCTAAAGGGTGGCCTTGTCTGAAATTTACTGGACCCCTTTCTTTTTAAAAAAATCACGATTTTTATATAGATAATACGTGGTTAACAGAGAAGTGTTAGAAATAAAGGGATGGTACCCCAGAGGACTGAAAGCAGAGACTCAAACAGGTGTTTGCACATCCAGGTTCACAGCAACATCATTCACAATTGGCGGAAGCAACTCAAGTGTCCATCGATGGATGAACGGATACACGAAGTGTGGTTCATCCGCACAATGGAATAGTTTTCATCCTTAAAAAGGAGGGAAGTCCTGACACCTGCTACAGCATGGAGTTGCCTTGAGGACATTACGCTCAGTGAAACAAGGCAGTCACAAAAGACACTGTGACTCCACTCGTATGAGGTTCCTAAATTGTCACATTGATAGAGACAGGAACAGAGGTTACCAGAGGCTGAGCGAGGGTGATGGGGAGTTAGGGTTTAATGGGGACAGTTTCCTTTTGGAAAGACGAGGAGGTCTGAGATGGGTGGTGGTGATGGCTGCACAGCAGTGTAACCATACTTGGTACCACTGCGCAGTACAGTTAAAGGAGCTAAAATGGTACATTTTACATTTATTTTGCCATAATAGAAAAAAAGGAGGAAAAAAAATTGAGATCACCCAGGGTAACAGGACTGTGGGAAACCACCCTGGGTGCACATCTTCCCAGCCTTCTGAGGACCAGCTTTTTCAGATTAGTCCGTAAGCCTGTGTCGATTGTCCCCTGCCCCGACATTGGTCTGGGACTCCAGGCATTTGGCAGCCACATCTGTGTGGCCCAAGGCTGCTGGCTGGGGGTGTCCCTCTGCCTGGGTTGGAAGGAGAGGCTGGTGTGGCCAGCCAGGGCGCCCTGGCCGGAGGGCTGACCGCGGCCAGGCTCTCACCACTGGATCTCCTCCTGGAGACCAAGGCCAAGACTGGTCACCACACAGGCCTCCCTGTAAGAGGGACGCACACCTGCTCTCAACACAGGGTGTTCCACACAAAACGAAAGCAGCTGAAAGTCAAATCCAGAGCTAGACCCTGAAAGCTGGTTCTTCCGAGACTCTGGTGGGTGGGGAAACCTGGAGGAAGCCCCCAGAGGTTTGCCAAGGTCAGGTCAGGAGATTCCACTTCCCCAGCCTTTTCCAGAACTTAGACTCTCCCCGTGTCTCCTGAGAATTGGGAAACTGAGCACGCCCTTGGGGTGCCTGCCACTGAAGGGAAGGCACCACGTCTCCCTGCATGTGACCCCGAGCCCCCAAGTGCCCCCCAGAGGATGGGAGTTGATACTGGGAGTCCAGAAAGGGGCATCAGGTAGGGGCTGGCTGGGTGAGGCACAGCAGCCCGCCTCCCACACCGCAGAAACCTCTACCAGGAACGCGTATGAGGCTGGCCGGGCCAGTGTTCATGCCCTCTTGTAGCTGAGCACTGCTTTTTCTATTTTACTGAAGGTTCCAGAGCCCTCCCAGCCTGCAGCAAAGCAAAGGGTAACTCAGGTCATGGGTGAAGTGAGCGAGGGCCACCGGGGAGGCAGGTTTGTGGGAACTGGGCTGGAGAAGCCGGCCTGCTCTCACCCCGCCTCCCGTTAGCCTGCCGGGCTGGGCCTCGTGGTGGCCGCCCTCGGAGCCCAAAGCCCTCTCCTTCCTGCCTTGGGGCCAAGCGGTAGGGGTCGGGTACTGCTTGGAGTGGTCCCCTGGAGGGCACACCTGCCTTCTCAAAGGGACCCAGACGCCAAGTCCAGACGTCCAGGAACAGCAAATACACGGGGTGACCTTTGAGTCTGGCAGGTGCTTGGCCAAAGATCAACACGAACCTGCCCTGAGTGGCCAGTGTCCCTGACGGCACAGGTCAGGAGCTCAGGCCTCCCTGGGAACCCACGCCTGGGGTCATCACTCACGGGATGGCCCAGCTGGGAGCCCAAGCCCCTGATGACTCAGCACCTGTCACCTCTGCCAGGACAGGGCCACCCTGCAGACGGCGTCTGTACAGACTTGCCCGTCTGCCCAGGCCGAGAGCAGCCCCGCCCACACGGGGAGAAGCCTTTAGAACAAGGTGACCTTGAGAACATCCAGCACCGCATTTATTTTGGGGGGCCCCTCTGTCACTCAAACAAGGCTCAGAGTGGAAAGGTCACCCGCTCAAGGCCGCACCGATGGAGATGACAGCCCCACCCGAACCACGGGGACCCAGTGAAGAGGCCTCGGGCATTTACCCTGTACAGCGCGGTAGTCCCCCGGCTTTGAGGGCTCCGCTCCGACTACTTAGAGGCAGAGCCTGCTCCTGTGCTCACAGCACTTCTCCCTCAGGGGAAGGCAGTGCTGCCCGCGGGGGTCTCCCTGGCCCCCCACACTCGGGTGTCCTTGGGGCCACCTCGGGTCCCATCTGTGAGTGGGGTCGCCAGGCCGGAGTTGGAGTTGGTGTGATGGACGGCAGGAGATGTGCCCACTCCTCCCAGCGCTTTCTTTTTTTTAAGAAACGTCCTTTGGGGGAAGTTTTTTCCCTTTTATTGATTGAAAGGCTTGTCCTCGACGGGACGGAGGGTGTCGGGTCCGCAGAAAGGGCCCGAGCGGGGAGCCAGCGTGCGCGGGGAGGGGCGATGCTGGAGGCACGGCCGCGCCAGCGCCTTTCTGCGGGGCTGGCCGGGGCACGCTTACTGCGCTTGGCGGAACTGAGCTTTGGTTTTGTGAGGCTTCACCAGGCAAAACGAGCAGCGGCAGCCGAGTTCTGCTGTGTGACCGTAGAACCTTCCAGAGAAACTCCCTTCACCCCTAAAGTGAATAATTTGGGTTTTGTCCCTTCTGCGGTGGAACGCGTGTGCTGAGCTGCTGGTGTGCGCTGACGAATTCTTGGAACGCGGGGAGCAGCCCCGGCTGGTCGCGTCTAACTTTCCTCTACCATCTAACTCCGGGCAGATCCAGGGAGCCCCATCCACGGGTGCCCACCGTGCCCCCCGGGAGCTGACGGTATGGGGTTTGGACTTCACCCCCAGCTCTCTGCAGGTGACAAAGGAAAGCTAGCTCCAGTCTGGGCCAACTGGCCGCAGCCTTTGCTGAAGCTCGGAGAGGGGCCCGTCGGCCGGTGTGACTTCTCGGGTTGTGGTATTTTGTTTGTGACTTTGGAAAGAACATGAAAGACTGGGCAGACACCCACTTGCCAAGGAGGCCAGGGCTGGTGGCCAGGCCAGCACCTCCCTGGTAGGTGTCAGGGAAAACGTTCAAAGTAAATAAATACAGTGATTTCTGGGAGCGCGTAGTACCTATCCCCCCGCCTTCCTAGTCCCAGCGCCTGGGGCTGGAACCCCGCAGGGAAACGCCAGTCCTTTCGTAGCTGAAGGTTGGCCTGGCCTGGATGGGAACGCGGATCCTGGCTTCAAACACACACACACGCGTACACAGACACAGGCACGCATTCATACCACATATATGCAGCCCCCCCCCACAGTTTCAGGGAGAAGAACTTGAGCATTTTGTTTGAGTTGGAAGAAAATATTCAATATCCTCTCATTTTCCTCTACCTGTCTAGGTTTCCCTTTGTTTTGTTTTTTAATCACCTTCAGAATGGCTGGGCTAGTTTTTCCAAGTGTAAGGTACAGTCGGCACTTTGTATGTGCAGGTTCCGCATCTGCTGATTCCACCAAACTCAGGTTGAAAATTCTCGGGGAAAAAAAATTTCCAGAAAGTCCCAAAAAGCAGAACCTGAATTTGCCACATGCCAGCAACTCTTGACATGACATTGCCATTGCGTTAGGCGTTGAAAGTCACCCAGGGATGATTTAAAGTCTACGGGAGGATGGGCATAGTTGTATGCAAATGTTATGCCATTTTATGTAAGGGACTCCAGCGTCCACGGATTTGGGTATCGGTAGGGGTCCTAAAGCCAGTCCCTCACGGGTCCTGAGGGATGACCGTATACCCTCCAGATCTCATGCAGGCTCAGCATGCAAGACCCTCAGAGGGTTCCAAGCCTGTGGGCCTCCAAACACATGTGTTTGCCCCCTATTAAAAGCTCCACAAAGGGAAATTCCTTGCTCGCCTCTAAGTCAGGCCCCTCCGACCCCATCTCCTTGTTCCCACATGATGTTCTTTCCCCTGAGAGCCCGCTTGCCGCAGCACCCAGGGCTCCCCTGGCAGCGTGAGGCCGCGTCCACAAAACCGGGGGGAAGACGCTTCCCCAGAGGACCGTGCGCCCCCAGCCTCCACCCTGGTCCACGGCCACAGGCCTGTGCGTGTTCTGTTTTTAAAATAACCATCCTTAAAGAAATGCTTGTTCCTCACCCCACCCAGACCGAGATGTTCCGGATAATTCCCGCTCTTGGTTGGATGTGGCCACAGCCTAGAAGATGCTCTGGTGTCTCTGATTCTGGCTGGAGGCCCGATTCCGCCCAGGGCAGTGATGCTGGCGCCCCACCTCGCTTCCGAGGGCCTCTGTGGAAGCAGAATACACCCCAGGTGGCTTTGCTCTAAGGCCACCGTGGGAAGGGAGCCCGGAAGAGCGAGCAGCGGAGCCCACAGGGCAAACGGCACAGCTGGCTCCAAGCCCAGCTCCTCCCGGGGGTCACGGCGGAGGCAGCCCAGGGCGCACCAGGACAGCCTCCGCCCCACCCCGCAGGGTCTCAGGCACCCATGCGCCGCAGGCTTCTCACTCAGCCAAACCTTCCCGTTGACTTGACAGGGCGATGTGGCCCACTGAGGACACAGGATAGGAAGGTGGGGCTGAGCCACAGCCTCCTGCAGGGGCAGGTTTGCCGAGCCCTTCCTGGTGAGTGGGAGACCCAGCTGGGGTGTTGGTGTCCAAGGTTAAACCCATTCACCCTCTAGAGCGGGTCCGCCCGTTCGTAAGACACGAGGAGTGGGGTGTTGTGGACACCCAGGCCCCACCCGTCCTTCAGAGCAGGAGTTGCCGCCCGGAGCCCCTGCTGTCCCAGGTGGCAGGGGAAGCCTTTGTCCTCTGCTCTGTCTTGTGCAGGTCTCAGGGTGAGGAGGCCTCACAAGGACGCTCTGCAGGGGAGGGCCCTGGAAGGTGTCCTGGGGCTGTGGGGCCGCCCCGGTGGCGCTGAGGGTGCAGGGCCGAGGGGCCTGTCCTCAAGCTCTGATGTGAAATTCCGTGCACTTGTGACAATCAGAAACACCCGCTTGGGTTGGACGTCTCTCTGGGAGGACATTCAGAGACCTCCTTGCACTGGAGAAGTGAATGCATTCTTGCGATGTGGAGCTTGTGCCCCACGTGCCCTAGAAGTACAGTCTGAGACCAGCTCACAAGCTGGTAATGGCCTTTGGCCCCAAGTGGGTGGATGTGGACCCAGCAGCACCTTTGCTGCCTCCACCCCACACCCCTGCATGGGGACCATGCAGTAACTGGCACCGCCGTGATTTCTGCACGTGCTAATCAAAAGCTTTTATTTTCTGATTATCTCTCCGTTTGATGGATGACAGATGCCGGAGCACTCAAAATACAAACAGATTCCAGTCGGAACATTTCAAAGGAGAAACCAGCCATTCTGGAGAGGAGAGGATGGTGCCCCTTCTGCCGCCTGGCAAAGAGTTTCATTGGGAAAAATTATTTTTCACCACCTTTTTGCTTTCTGTTTAAATTAAGCTTCGCCAAGCAAGTTTGGCAGCAGCGGAGGGCTCCTAATTTGGTCCCCCTTGACCTCTGCTGCCTTGATTGGCAGTTTGTTGCCGGGCGGGAAGTCGTGCCCGCGAGGCTGGAGCAGCAGAACAAATGCCCTAGGACAGCTTTACGTGCCCCGAGGACCCCAGCGGAGGGGGAGAGCGCGCAATTAGAGAGGTCTTCACACAGAAAGTTAATTAGCTACTAAACAGCATTTAGCACAGTTTATGGTGGGAAGTACATGTCTGAGGAGCACGTGGAGACCGGGGAGTGATATGACCACAAGGACCGGGTCCTGGCTGCAGACGCTTCATCCCTCGGGCCTGACTCAGTGCCAGGCTCTCAGGGCACGGAGCCCCCGCTCCCTCGAGCATGGAGGGAAGGAACCCGAGATGGACTGGCCCAGGTGCCCAGGAGCTGTCCCCTCTGAGAGTGAGAGCCAGGCACCCCAGGACCAGGCAGCGCGATGCCCCCCCGCCCCCCAGGAATCCGCCTGGCCTTGGAGAAGCTGTCCTGTCTTGCACACACTGCCCAGCTTCCCAGTTATAGAAGCCAGTTCAAAACGCCTTCCGTTACTGGGAGCTGTGTGTGCTGGGTTGAATGCTGTCCCCCCAGATCGTGTTCCCCCAGAACCTCAGAGTGGAACCTTATTGGGAAGGGTCTTTGCAGATGGAATTAAGGCAGAGATCAAGGTGCATCAGACTGGATTAGGGTGGGCCCTACACCCAATAAGTGTTCTTCTGAAAGACAGAGAAGGACCCCCAGACCCAGTGCGGAGGCCGGGTGACGCAGAGATAGATCACAGTGATGCAGGCTGCACACCAAGGATGGGGCGTCTGCCCTCGAGCCTTCCGAGGCATCATGGCCCTCAGGACACCTTGGCTTTGGACTTCCGGCCTCCAGGACTGTGGCAGAAGAGGTCCTGTTGTTTTAAGGCGCCCAGTTCGTGGGGATTTGTTAGGGCAGCCATGGAAGAGGAATAGTGTAGGGCCACACCGGAGCCCCTGCGCCGGCCCGTGGGAGGCCCCGCGTGGGTGCTGGCATCTGATGCCAGAGGTGGGTTGGTGGCCAGGGGAAAACCAAGGTCCCCGAAGGGCCCCTGTGGGCTCTGCTTTCGTCCCAGGACTGACTTGGGTGCTCCTCTGACCTGCTCGGTTTCTCTCCCTGCTGAAACCGCGGGTTAACTGCTTGGGGTTATTTTTTGTTTGTAGAGGGCAGGTTCTCACTCTTTTTGGTTTGTTTTTGCCTTTGATGTTTTTTAATTATTTGGAGGGATTCATGATTTTAATGATTTTCTTCTTTAATTATAAAAGTAACACCTCCTTCCTAAAGAAATTTTGGAAACTAGGGAAAAGGTAAAGCAAGGGGGTAGGACGCCACCCGTGACCAGCACGGTCAGCATCCTGGTGGACTTCCTCCAGCTTTGCACTTACTTCTATTTTTTTGTTTCTGATGCCTAAGTTATTTCAGAGTTGCAGACGTGCTGTTCGTAAAATTTGGTCTCTTGATTTTTAAAAATAATAATTCTAAATTTTATTCTACTGGATACATGCAAAAAACATACATAGACTGTAAATGGCACAGCCTAAAAACAAAATGCTCCGTCATTACCGGACGCAGAGCTGCCGGGCTGAGCTGGCCCAGCCACCGCGGCTCCTTCCTCCCCTGGAGGCCGGGCTCCGGGAGGAGTCACTTGCTGGAATGCCGTGGGCACCATTTCCTCCCCCTTTTAAGGCAGGTTGTCCACATCTGTGTATCTTTCCCAGTAACAGGTGCTTAGCTTTGACTGCTTTTGAGCGTTGTTAACCTGCCAGCAGCCTTTGCAACCTTCTGTGAGCAACTCTGTGTCTAAGATCACACGGTTCATTCCTTGTGACTGCCGTGCAGTACCCCAAGCTGTGACTTGCTCCCCAGTTTGTCTGTCTGTGTTCCTGACAGTCGCCATGTGGTGTATTTGGGGGTTTCTCTGTGACAGTTCTTGCACCCATCTTTGGTGCAGGGCGCGAATCTCTGGGATGTGTGCTCAGCATCACGAGACACATCCATTGTTTACGCGGGCGATGGGCCGGCTTGCCCTCCCCCTCCCCCGACCAGGATTGTGTGTGTTCTGTCCTGCTATTTTCAATTCACGTCCTATTGCAAGTTCTCCCCATGTCTTCTTAACGGCCGTCATTTTAAATGCCTGCATAATATCGTATTAGGTGGACATATGACATTTTGCTTGACCATACATTTTTACATGGACATTGAGTTGTTTCCAGTTTTCTGCACGTCCTACAAGACACCTGCATGTGTCAGGTGCTGGGGCACAGATGGGTTTATTCCTCCAGTGAGTTCCCAGAAGCAGAGTCAAAGAGGGGAACGTTTTCAGTTCTTGAGACATGTTGCCAGTTGCTGCTTTAGAGGTTTGAGCCTTGGTTGTGGACAGATTCCCCGATGTGCCCCAGGGCATGGATACTGCGTACACACACTCGTATCCACAGAGGTACACATCTGCATGTGCACAAAGGTCTGGTGTGTAATTTTATGCACGTACAAAGGTTTAATGCGTACACTTTCACACACCCTGAAATTCAATGTGATATTGTTTATTTTATAAAAAATTAAAACAGGAAGCTT